AATTATTTTTAAACATGTCCTTATTAATCATTTAATTTTGAATAACAACCACCAATTATTATATAACCAAACAATTATATTAATCGAATTTATTATTTATGATCCGTTGCTTACTTTTCACTATCTGCTACTTACTATCCGCAAACTGTCATCCACTGCTTATTATCTGTTATCTACTAAAGTTGAATTGGTATACCAAACAAATCTTTAGTTATGCCAACGCATAACAAAAATAAAGTAGTTTAGCTTTTACTCATTCGGTTCAATTTTAGTAATTTAAGTTTAATTTTTTTATTTTTTATGTATAAATTTTATATAAAAATTTAATCATTTATATAAATAAGAATTAAAAATTTTTTGTATATAATTTTTTAAGCATTTTTATTTGATAATTTTTTTTAATTATCATTTAAAATTAATATTTTAATTAACTCAGAAAGGTTTAAACGTCGAAATTAACTGACTGATTCCAGTAATAAAATGCAAATATGATAGCTTTAGACTTCATGTATAAATAGGATACCAAATATGGTTTACAAATTTGTAATTACTCTCAAAAGTAAAAGTATTTATAATGAGATTGTCATAGACAAGTGGTAATTTTTATTTTAGGCTAAATGTCAAATTTAATCCTTCAACATTTAATTTTGAACAAATTTTATTTCTCAATTTTTTTTTTTTGCACTTTGATAATCACTTAATTTTAAAAAAAATATTTTTTTTGTCATTTATTAATTAACCTGTTAAATTAACTTAAAATGTATATATTTTTAATCTTTAAATTTATAATAAATATACATTTTTAGTTTTTAAACTTAACATTAATGCTGCTTTACCACAAAACATGAGCGTGACCTGATTGGGGTTGTTCTTAGAGATAGTGACAACAAAGTCCTTGGAGCTGCATAAAAGGTTTGCTCTTTCAAGGGGTCGCTCTTCAAGCGAAGGTTATAGCAATTGATTTTGCATTGCAAATGGGCAAAGAATTCGGATGTAAGAAGGTTGAAATAGAGTATGATTGTCTTCAGGCTATTCACATAGCCAGATCTGAAGAAGAATGTTTTCTGCCATTCGAAACTACTATTGTTGAAGACCTTTGCTCTAGGAAATCTTTTTTTGACTCTCTAATCATAACTAAAGAGACTGTAATGTCCTTGCACAAAACTTGGCACAACTATTGCCACCTACTCCACCCTGGGAAGGTCGGTTTGGTAGCCTTCCAAGAGATCTATGTACTAATGCCAAATATTAAGCAATAATACTTGTTTTTTTATCAAGAAAAAAAAATTCAATAAAATTTCAAGCACTTTATTAGATTTCGTTGACTTCGAATATGATTATAGTCATTTATTATTTTTTAAAAATTATTTAATTTTATTTTATTTAAATGTTTAAAATAATTAATAATTAATAAAATAATTAATATT